AGAATATGGATTACGACGGTATGAATTAATTGGACCATTTTCACCTTCTCCAATGTATTGTTTAACAGCTTTTCCATTTTCATCAATATGCATAGGATAACGTTCATTATATGCTTTACGTTTAGGATAATCAGATATAGTTAATTTATAACCATTTATGACTTTAATATTACCTTGACCATCAGTAACGAAAACTTCATTTATACCATCAGGTTTTCCATTTGGACCCGTAATGTCTGCTTCGTGTGCTTCCCAATTTGGACCATGACGTTTGGCATATGCTTGAGCTTCTGGTAATGTTAAAACATTTCTCATTTGTTTAACATCTTTTTGAAGACCAGCAACAATATGAACTAATTCTTTCATTCCATCAGGAACTTTCATAGTTCTATTATATGCACCCCTTTTGTTTGTCCCTTGTTTTAATGGAACCTGTAGAAGATTTACCATTTCTGTCATGTTTAATTATAAATAAAAAATAAAAAATAATTATAAAAAAGTTAATCAGATTTAACACTTCCTTTATTTAAATCAAATATTATTTTTCCATGTTCACCTAATTGCTGATATTGTGTGTAAAGTTCATTAATGCTCATTGGTAAATTCACTTGATAAAGCATAACGTTCAACTGTTGACGACTAAACCCACTGAAAATGAAAAGTGTTGATAGATTTGATTTAATGTTTGTGCTTAATGCTTTGAAATATTGAACAGCCATGAAGAATGAACACTGAATGTGTCGACATTGAGTTAATAACTGATTAAAATATGATTTCTCATTTGTTATTAGTTTTGATTTCACCGCATCATCTAGAAAAATGAGTGAATGCAAAAATTCTCTATCAAAATTTGAAATAGAAAGTGTTTCAAATAATTCATCCCGTTGTTTATCAATAATTTTATCCTCTAATCCTTGCTTCTTGATTGTATTATATAATTCTTTATACATTAAAAAGTTTTTTAAATAATCTTCTGCTTCTTCTTGTGATAAATAAATAATTGGAATTTTGATTAAATGCTTTAAAGATTCAAATGTATCATCTGAAGGTGACCTGAACGGTTGATATAAATTAACACATGTGAATGGGGTGAAGTGTTAGCAATAATGATAATTTGTTTTAATATCGTTAATGTTTTACCTTTATTCTGTTTACCAATTGCTGCAGTGATTGAATTTAAGTAACATTCAGAATATGGAATTTTCATTAATTTTTCCTTAGATAGAGCATTTCTATTATCACTCAATGCTTCATTAATCATATCATCTACGTATGTATTATATACTCCCGCTAATTCTTCATAAGGGGTGGATGAATTAAATCCATTTAATCAAAAATAAATTTATAATTTTAAACATTTCTATTCATCAATATTTCATCATATGAACTTCTATACTGCGGTGGTGTACCTGTTGGATGATATTTCAAACCTTCATCCGGTGTCCATGTCCAATATGTAGTCCTAGAACCAAAACCTGAGGAGGATTTGTCACCTTTGAACAGTAAGTGTCATTTTCACCCTGAATGATTGGATAAGCTTTCACTTGTACTGTAACTTGTGAGTTGAAAGTTTCTAATCCATCAAAGAATATACCCGCTCCATCACGTTGAACTGGAATAGTGCATAAGAATGAAGTTTGGTCTTTCCATGTTCTAGCTAATGGCGTGCCATTATCATCATTCAGTGGTCTAGTTAATGAGTCCTCGTATTCTTCTGTGCATTCATTCACTCCATCTAAATCAGAAGCTTGAAGCATACGTGTAAAGAATATGTCGCCCACTGTGGTCATCGCTTGATCGGGGAAGTTTCTGGAATCTATAGTGACCTGAAGACCTCGAAGCATTGGATTTTCTAAAACCGTTCTTTGCATTGCATTTTCGGAAATGCTAACACAACATCTGTAACATTATGAAGAGCGTATGAGAAATCTGAGCTAATACCTTCAGGAGTGATGCAACCTCCATTTAGTGAACGAACGTCAATATGTTGAGCTGGAATCATGAATGGATCTTCCTTACTGAATAAACGTGGTATTGCTTTAACTGATTCTTCAATTAAACCGTATCCTGGTGTAATGCATTTATCCTCTAAAACTTCCATCTTTGTGCATGAAATAATAAACATCATCAACTGTTGCGTCAGCAGATGTAGCGGCTAAGCTTGTAATTAATTTGGCAGGAAGTCCGATTTGTTGGAATTTGCGATCATATTTATAAACATGATTCATAATCTTTTCATAATTTTCATCAGTTATCTTTTCATAAACGTAATTTTGTAAATCAGCAACTCTTAACGGGTCAACCTGACAAAATACTAAAGTATCCCTGAAAACATAATATTTAAGAATGATATCACCAAATGATTTAGGATAATCATCGAACGCCTGAAATGCTAACAAATCATTTACCGGAATAATCATATCAAAAGTGACATCAACTTCTTCATTTGCATTCTTGAAAACTTCTGAAGGGTTAATATATTTACCACATACTGAGTTATCATATTTTGGAACATTATTATATAACGAATGAACAAACTTTTTAACTTTCCTTTCTGATTTTGGTTTATATGTTGCAAATGCGAAAGATTCACGCAATCCATCTGAAGATAACCGGCATCACCTCTTTCGGTTTCTACTTCTAATTGTTTAAAGCTTTGATTGATGATTTGTAACCAACGAATAAACGCATGCATTTAAAAGCGGCATCACATGTGAAAGCTTTATTTGAAACTAGAGTTGCTTTAACTTTGCGTTTAATATATGTGTCACCTAATTGATTCACATCATGAGCCGGATTTGTAATTCTTAAATGAGTTTGTTTATCATCAAAATATGGAGCATCAGAGTCATAGCATGAACTTTCAAGTTCTCTATAATATCTTCTACCGTCATTCTTTGCGAATATTTCATTTATCTTTTCGAATGAATGAAACACATTTCCATTAATCAGTTTAGTGTTTGGCACCAAATAGTTAGTCGTCATTTATTATTAAATAAAAAATCAAAATTAAAAGATGAAAATGAATTTTTAATTTTAATGAAATAATCAACTATGGCTGCAGGTATATTTAAGAAACTGTGGGATAAAGTAAAAAGAGGAGCGCATAAAGTTTGGGAAACATTGAAGAAGGGAGCAAATTGGATATTTAAGAATAAAGAAGCAATTAGTGACGTTGCTGAATCAATAACACCAAAAGCTGCCCCAATAAGAGAAATATTAAATAAAGGAGAAAAAGTTTATCAAAGACTTCAACCGATACTAAGATAAAAATAATATTTATTTATTTTTCCACTATCAACCTCCTATTTTATTAAGTATTCCTTCAGCTATTCCACCAATTGCGTTACCTGCTTGTGCTCCCATCGCCGGATTACCTGCTTTAGTACCTAATACTCCACCTATGATAGTTCCTGCCGTTTTCGCTACTGGTGCCAAAAAGTTTGCAATGGGTTTAATAATCTTTTTATGAACCCAACCCGCAGCTTTCTTAATTCCATCCCATAATTTTTTAAAGAATCCTGCCGCCATTTCTGATTTAATATTAATTAAAAAAATATATTTCATCACTTATATTCTAATTTTTATTTAATGATAAATGAAACCGATTTTAAAAATAAATGAAACAGAGGAGGAAGAAATAAATGAAAGTGAAAATGTTCAACAAAAAATAAACGTTGTTAAACCAATTACTGAAATAAAAATTTTTTCATCTGTTGAAGAATTTAATGACTATTATGCTAACAATAAAAAATTATTTGAAGAATTGACAACGTGTAAATTGAATAAAATGTTTAAAGTTGATGGATTCAAAATTTCAAAAATAAAGGGTGGTTAGTTTGAAATCTATTCCTCAATCAAGAATCACCTCATTAATGAAAATAGATGATTTAACAAAAAGAATAGAAGAGATTGAAGAAAGAGTAAATCAGATAATTGATTTTTTCAAATAATCATTAGTTTCTTAAAGTTCTATGTTGAACTCATCAAATTCTTTTTAAAGTTTATTTTTTATTTTTTATTTCATTAGGTAGTGAATCTTTCATTCATGAAAATAATTATTTCTAATTTCTTTTTACTCTCTCATACATACTAGATTTAAAGAATTCAGAACTTTTACCATAATCTCCTAAATGTTTTCTTATCCCTAACGTGTGCCAGTTATTATATGAAACTGAATAAACTTTATTCTTTATCTTTACACCTTTCATCACTTCCAATATATTTATATCTCAGTTTTTGATTTAGCATTTTCATATTCATTAGCGTTTAATAATTCACAGTCTTCCTTTTTAAATATATGTTTTATGTATTCAGGATTTAATACTCTACGTTTATATGCTCCTAACTTAGTTCTAAAGGTTTTTCTACAAAATTTAGGAATTCCATCCTCTTTAATGTCATCAATGATTTCCATTTCATTATTTCTAATTTCTTCTTCTCGTTTATGAGGTCTTTGATTATGACTCCATTGATTCCATGAAATTAAATATTCTTTATCATTATATTTATACCTCATTAGCTTATTTTGGCTTTCATATTCATTTAATAATTCACAGGCTTCCTTTTTAAATTGATGTTTAACCCATTCAGGATTTAAACAATGTTTAATTAATCGCGGAATATCTGACATCATCTATATATAGCTTCTTTTATAAAAGATAAAAAATAAATTATTTTAAAATTAATGTTAATTTTTTAAAATGTGTTTAGTATATAATATTTATTACTAATTTATTTAATAATGTCGCGCTTTCTTACGAATTCATGACTTAAAAAACGTAAGAAAAAATTTTTATATCATCTATATATAGAAGATGTGAAAATATACTTTCATCTATATATAGACGTAACAAAAAAAGTCACACAACCCTTCCTATCCTACTACTGTAACAGAAAATGGCAAAAAAAATCAAGTTGTCAAGTATATAATATAGCGCGCCGATATAAGCTGAAAATATGAAAAGCTGTCAAAATTGTCAAGTGACAGAATAATCAAAATGCTCACACTAATTGCTTTAATATGCAAGAGTTCTATATTTGGTTCCGGTCGACAGGCCCTTACAGTTGAGAAAATGACTAGAGCTAATCTTGAAAGAGACTATTCTACAACAAATCTCGAATCAATCGCATGGCAAGTAGCAAACGATTTTCATCTCGAACAACCTAATGTTGTCAATTATTTCCAACGTTCCAAATGGGCTCAGCTTGCCAAAAATCTCTTTTTCAGAGTTGATTTCAACCAAGTCGATGGACATGAAAAAGCTGTCTATCTTGGTGGCATGGTTATCAAGATTACTAAGTCCAACGGTGTTTACACTGTCAATTGTCGCCAAGCAACTGTCCGTGGAACCGTAAGATATGCAGTTTACATTCCTCGTCGTTCTTTTAATGCCCCATTTGGAGAGAAAGCTGTTCCTAATATAAGAAGGACAGTAACGCCTTCTTATCTGCTCTCAGGCGAAGAAATCACACAAATCTATAACACTTTATACAGCCAAATTAAGGGCCAACTCAACGCTTACAAAGCAATTTAAATTTAAAAATTAATCATTAATAAAGTTATTTTTTAATGCCTTGACTAATAAATTATAAGGTAGGTTAAATCATTCGTAACACCTTTGAAACTTAATACCCTGCAAGAAACTTTTAAAAATACATCATGATACTAAATCATACACAACTTATCAAAACATTTAAAAATTTACAATTGAAAATATATTTTCTTACATAATTGTATATGCTAATACTTGTCCTTTATTGCAGCGCATATTATTATACAGAATTCAATGGTAAGTTGTGCTGCATAAAAAATAATAAAAGTTTAATAAAAATTCAAAATAAACGGCACATTAAAAAAAAGGTAGTGGGGCCTCCAGGCGCGTTGCGCCCTCTAGCCCTGAAGATGTTTAGTATAAATGAAGTTTATATTTGGAGGGCTTCCAGGCGCGTTGCGCCCTCTAGCCCTGAAGATGTTTTTCCCAAGACCCAAGAGGAGGACCGAACCCCAGCCGACCAGCCGTTGACTTTTTTGTGTCGCTTTTCACAATTATATATGTTTTCATGTTTTGTCACTTTTCAGGTAAAAACATTTTTATTATTATATATAAATGAATTTTACAAAACCACCGTTACCGTTCTTTGGAAATAAGAGTAGATGTAAAGATATTATATTGAGAGAACTTAAGAAACTACCGAATGGTCTAACATTTGTAGATTTGTTCGGTGGAAGTTTCTATATATCCCATTTATGTCATACAATATTCCCAGACTCAAAGATTATATGCAATGACTTCGACAACTATATGGACCGTCTCAAACATATTCCAGACACAAACAATATATTGAAAGAGTTAAAGAAAAGATACCTATAGGTAAGATGGAACGTATACCATTAAGATAAGAAAAATATTGTGAGAGAGGTTTTGAAAAAAGCAGTCTATATAGACTGGGATAGTATATCTGCTAGACTATTATATAGTGGTTCTATAAGAGTTCATGACATTGAAACACTTATGTCAAAAGTTTTATATCTTAACTATACAAATGTTTTCAAAGAGAACATAGAAAAATATATTGAGGGTATAGAGTTTGTGAGATGTCATTGGACAGAGTTGTATGAAAAATATAAAGACAAGGAAAATGTTTTCTTTATTAGTGGACCCGCCGTTCTATAACACATGGGATTTTCAATACCAAGTAGACTGGACTTTGAGAGACTCTTTAGAAACTTTAGACGTTATACATAACCATCCATGCTTTTACTTTACATCCGATAAAAGTGGTTTGGAAACCGTTATGAGATGGTTAGAGGACATAGACTATGAGTTTTATTATGGACAAGATAAAATATGAGAGAGGTCCTATAAACCGGAGAAAGTGTCACAATAAAGAAATTTTATTAGTAAGTAAATGTTGTGGTTTGAAATAGGACTACTTGTTTTAGGTTTTTTCCATTGTGTCATTTATTTATTTGACGTGGCAGAAAAGTACAGAGAATATGAAGATGAACCAATGCCTGCAAATGTTCAGTATATGTACTCGTAAGAGATATTTTTATCTAATATTAAATGGACGCACAGAACTTAGCGAATGCACAGCAACCTGGACAACCAAACCCAGAGAATATTCCAAATGAAGTTAGAATACAAACTGCAATGGCAAACTATGGTCAAGTGCCAACAGATGTACAAATGCAAAACTGCCATGTCAAATGACGCTGCGTTAGGTTTGCCACCATGGTATGCAAATATGAGATGGAAAGAGTTTTATACAAACCCTGAAGTGGGATATAAACAACTTTATGCAGATGACGCGAACACAGGAGTTGACCCAGAATATGTTTTCTACCAGAGGAGAAACAGAATGTATGAGCTCCAGTTAAAGAATGCTATGGAACTCAACAGGAAACGTAAAAGACTTGGCGGACATTAGATTTTTACATATTAGTAAAATGGGTTTCTTCAGTAGTATTGGAAACTTCTTCAGAAGAGTTGAAGAGGTATATGGAATGGAATAAAATCTGTCGGAAGAGGAATTTGGAACGGAGTCAAAAAAATATTGGTAAAAGAGTAGGTCAGTTTGTTGGTATTATACCTAAAGACCCTGAACCAGAAGAACAAGCTCCTGTTATACAACAGCCTGAACCTGCACCACAGTCTAGTTGGCAACCAAATCCAACACCTCAACCGTTATTAAAAAATTATATTTTTACCGTTCGATAGTGGTTGTATATGAAACTAAGTTCTAAGTAAAACGCATGGTATAATGGAATTATTCTTTTTCTTCCATCTGTAGTAAACCATACTTGAAAGTCTGAAATACTTCCACTTGGTGGTTCGTATAACTTTGTAGGTTTTTCGTAAAAGTCATTTGCCAAGCATAAGAAAGAGTTTTGGGCGCCAGAAAATGAAGCATGAACAATAATAGCATCTTGGTCGAAAATATTTTCATATGTTCCATTAGGGTTTTCGACTTCATAATAGTCCGGGTGTACTGGATATGCTGCAGGCTGATTTAACATCCTCATAAATCTATACCATGCCAAGTTGTTATATTTTGTAGAAATATAAACGTTTTCTCCAAGGTCTTCTATTCTATTGATTTTAACAGTTGCATTTTTCCTGTCATAAATAATATCGAGATGGTATTCTCCTTCGTCAATGTTATACTGGTTTGCATATTCAATATAGATATCGTTTATTTTTTCTTGAAAAGCTTGAAGAGTTGTTTCTAAGTTTATAAGCAAATTAACTTGTAAAAGTTTTCCCTGTTCAAATTTCTCATACATACGTTTTTCTTTGTTATAGTATCGAACTTCAAAAACCGACCGTAAATGGGAAACCATGTATGGCTTCTGAAATGAACTTCATTCTACGAAAGCCAATAGCTTTTGTGACGGATGGGTCTCTTAACCATCTTAATGGGTAGTCAAAACGATAGCCTTCATGCTTTACGGTCTCTGTCTCAAACTTTTGACCGACATTAGTAAAAAGTTCATCTAATGGTTTAGTTGTAGCAACTCTAGAATTTGCTTTTTCTATTGGAAGCATATTTTATCTATAATAAAAATGTCAAATGAAACAGCGTCTATGAGAGAAATACAACACAACCGACAACTCATTATGCAAGCTCTAAATAAGAACACAACAAACTTTTCAAACTATTCTAAGATATCTGAGTCATTGAAAGGGGGTGACTTAAAACTGACATTAAACCCTATAACAGATGAGTTTCTGTTTCAAGACAATAAGAACCATACTGTCTGTATAAATCCAACAAAAGGAACTTTAAACGAGAAACCTATAAATGAACTTCTTTTGAAGGCAGATGTTGACAACAAAGCTGACAAAGAATATGTAGACGATGCAATAGCAAAAGAAGAAGAAAGAGCTAACAATGCTTATGCAACAAAAGAACATACTCATCCTGAACTAGCAGACAAAACATATGTTGACAATAAAATGTCAAGTGAAGTGACAAGAGCTGAAAACGAATATTCTAAAAAGACTCATATACATTATATTAACCAAATACCAAGTCTTAAGGAAACATTAGAGACAAAAGCAGATAAGACTCATACACATTCTATATCTGATATTACAAACTTACAAGAAACCTTAAACAGGAAAAGTGACGTTGGACATACACATACCATTGCAAATATTACAAACTTACAAGAAACCTTAAACAGGAAAAGTGACGTTGGACATACACATACCATTGCAAATATTACAAACTTACAAGAAACCTTAAACAGGAAAAGTGACGTTGGACATACACATTCTATATCTGATATTACAAACTTAAACGTTAGCCTTGAAAAGAAAGCAGATAAAACATATGTCAATGAAATATACCAAAGTTTGATAGGAACAAAAAATATTGAAACTATTGTTGGTGACTTTTCTGTCAATGAAGAAAATAAATATTTTAGATGGCAGTTGGTACAGTCCTTAAAAAATGGTACACGGTGTAAACTCATTCCGAAAAATAACAATGAAATGTATGTAAGCTATAAAAAGAATGATGGTACACAAGTTAAAGTTCCATTAGACAACAACTGCTACTTAAACTTATATGGAGACGAACAAAAGAAATATTTAAGAGTTTATGAAATGGTGGATATGACATTGCCTGACCCAGCTCCAGCACCACATTATTATGACTATGGAGATGACGACAGAACACCACATGTAGATGAACAAAAGCTAACATTATATTTAGATTATTATAGATATAAAAGATATAATGCAATAGAAAAAACGAGAATAGTATATTATTATACAGATGACAGAAATAAATATTATAGTCAAGATTTTACCTACCCTGAAAACATAAGATTATATTATAAAAAATATTCTGACACAAACCAGAAGAAACCTGAAATAGTTGCACTATATTTTAAGTTCAAAAGAGACAATCCTATAATATCTCATATGTTTGATTTAATGAACCCAGTAGGTTCTATTTATACATCTATGGAAGCAAGAGGTCCTCAAGTAATGTTTGGTGTTGGTGCATGGGAACAAATAGTCGACAGGTTTTTGTATTGTGCAAACTCTTCAAAGGAAAACAGGTGGAAGTAAAACGATTTCAGTGTGAAATTTACCTGCACACAGTCACTACATAGATTTAAGTACATCTCAAGCAGGTTGGCATAAGCATAGATATATTGGTTGGTCAGGAATGACAAAAGGTAAAGGATATGATGTTAAAGACGACGTTAAGTTTGCTATAAATTGTTACTGGAGTGACACTCAGGGAGAAGGAAACCATACACATTTCGTTTCAGGATATACGCAAACAACGGGACAAAGTAAAGAATACATGCCACCTTACATGACAGTTTTACGCATGGTATAGAATTGCTTAGTCGTCATTTTCAACTTCTTTAGCATATTCGTCAGGAGTTGTCTTATATTTGTTAGGAACTGTCTTTGAAAGTATACCACCTTGAACTTTGACAAGTTTGAAACGAGGTCTGGCAATAGTAGTTTTATCTTCTGCTTGCAGTGTGTACATTTTGCCATGTTTGCCTAAAACTTCATAATATTCTCTTGTATACTTTCTTCTATTTTTACGAACACGAATGTGAGTACCTGTCGGGTTCCCATTGTTGTCATAGTCAATAGTATTTTCATATGGGTCGCGTTTAGGTATTTCTATTTTTACTTTGTCACCTTTCCGAAGTTTGAAGCCCGGCATTCTTTCTTGTTTGTCTCTTTTGACTAAATTATTAAATATATAGTCTTTCTCTAAGTCAGGGTTGTTTTTCATTTCTTCGGGGGAGTGGTTTCCCAAACCTTTTTGTTTACGGTTATTGTAAATATTTAAGACTTGTCTCATCTTTGCCATGGAGAAGTGTCTATACTTGTCGTCATATGACATTTCATTTGCTTCACCACCTTGTGGTTGGTTTAAGTCTCTTAACATTTTTATACAACCGTCAATGACACCAAGAGCAGAATGGTTTTGGTCGACAATGAAATATTGGTTTACATTTTTTGAACGCAGATAGTTCTTTACATCATCTGATTTGAAAGAACTTTCACAGTCAGATGTCAGTTTTGTTGGATGGTATTTGTCAACGAATATTGTCAAAGCAGTTTTCACATCTAAAATATTTTTGGACCATAATGGTATGGCTTCACAGTATCTTGTGTTTTGACCAACAAATATTAACCAGTATGGAGGTCCATCTGTTCTAACTCTCGGAATGTTTTCCAAGATATCCATAAACCAAGCATTTGGTGTTGAACTAAAGATTTTTATCATGAGTGCTTTCTTTGTCGCTTTAGAAACATAGGGGTCCTTGTTCGGATTCGTCATTTTTTACCCTATAAGAAATGGGTTTATTTGGCGCATTAGCAGGAGTTGCATCCAGATTTTTGCCCGCAGTGGGAACAATAGCCAGAGGTGCATTTGGAATTGGAAAGAAGATTTTGAGTACATTAGGTATACTGAAAGAGAAAGCACAACCTATTATACAAACTGTACAGAAAGGTTGGGATGTAGCCTGAGATGCAACAAATCTTATTCCAAATCCTGAAACAAGAGGAAAAGTTCAAGGATGGATGGACAATGTAGGAAGACAAGCAGGAAACTATTATAACAAAGCAAATGACTACTATAACCAAGCAGGACACTATATGGACCAAGGTGAAAGATTCTTTAACAGAGGATATAACCATGCACAACAGTGGGTAAACAATAACCAACCTCAACCGCCTCAAACGTGGGGAATGTAAATTTTTTACTGAGATGAAATGAACAATACAGCATTGAGACAAATGAGTTCAAGATGGATTTGTCGGCTTCCAGCATTTACACCACGTGTTTGTAAAGTTCTTCCTATACCTCAGGAAGTTTTAGACCGACTTAAAAAAACCTAACAACCAGTTGAAAAAACCAAACTAAAATTTTTACTGAGATGAAATGACCGAAGAAGTTGAAACGGTAGATTTGACACCACAAACAAAAAGTTCAGAATCATTGTCAAAACCTGTCAAAGAACTTACAGATGAAGAGAAAAATTCAATAATAGAAAGTGCCAGGTCTGGAAATACAAACCCTAACTATAAAGTCACTTTTCATAGAAATGGAACGGCTAGTATCTCAAAAAAGAAACAGACTCTCACAAATAAAATATTGAAGTCTGAAGGAGCTTTCGAGACAACAGATGGAAAAGTTTACTTCACTGACCAACAGTTCATTATAGAACATCTCATTGACTTAGAGTCGAAATATTCTAAACTTTACAACAACACAAAAAGTTGAAAGGAAAACAAAAAACAAATGGCATATGATATTTATGAAGATGTTGACGACACATCTGTTCCTGCAAGTGAAGTAAAGTCAGAGGAACCGAAAAGTGACGAAAAACCGATAGAAAGAAGAAGAAACCAAAAAACTGAAGATAAACCAAAACCAAAGTTTAGTTTCCAAACTAAACCAAGTCAACCTTCATTAGCTGGTATGGGTTGCGTCAAAGACTTATGGCAGCAGGCGGTTATGTAAAGTAAAGAAAAAAAACATTTTTTTATTTTTATAAAAATGCCCCCATATAGAATGGATAGAAAGTCTGCTAGAATAAAAGCAGAGTTACAAAAATATGGTTGGAGAGTTTCGAAGAAGTTTAAATATAGGAAGGGAAGACCCATAAAAGTCTATGACAAATTGTCTGGTCTTCGCTACGAAATGGATTTGGAAACAGCACGTGCCAATTATCCAAACAGACTAGAGAGGTTAGAAGAAGAACGTCTTATGGACATGCCTTTCGATGTTAGTGAACCTCAAGTTGAAGGACACGACGGCTTTGCCAGATTCTACTGGAAACATGACGAACAATTGCATCCTTTGAGAAGGAAAAAAGGAAAAGGTGAAGACGCACATGCTCCCATGGAAAGAACAAGATATGCATATGAAAAGTATCGTGAAGTTAGAAGTCAAATTACATCTGGTCGAACCTTTACAGTAACTTTGACGAAGGAAAGAACAAAGAAGGCTTCATGGGAGTACTTGCTGGCAATTCAAGACGGAAATAAGAAAGGACACAATTCAGATTGACCATAACAGATTTGGATGGTCACATTTACTATGCACATGGCAATGAACAAACAACCGCAAAACTTCTTGACGCTTTCAAGACTACAAAGAGAGAACAAATGGTTGACTCCGACTCAGACATTTTGAATGCAATTGAAGGAATTGCAAGTGTCAAGTTCGAATGGTACCAACCTAACCCTCAAGCAGTCAGACAACATGCTGGATACTTCCCCTTCATAAATAAGTCTGACATTGACTTGACAAGGTATGGAATTTACAATTCAATTGAAACAATTGTCAATGAACCTTGTATTCTTACATGTCTCAGGAACTCTGGTCTTGTTACAGATGAGAAGATGAAGTATCTTGAGTCATGTGTGAAGATAAGGTACATTCTCAGAGGTCAATTGGCAAAAATTGCACCGTTGGCAAATGTCAATATCCGAGTCAACATACCTACAGCTAAAGGTTCTTCACATGACGACTATGTTGTTGACAAAGACTTACCATGGTTGAAGATTGTAATTGTCCACAACCACTTCATGTTGAACGAAAGTCTTACAAACCCATTCTTTGGTAAAAGTAAGTGCAACATTGTCAGAGCTGTAAACATTCTTTTCGAGAAAGGTTTGTTGGAATCAATTCCAGATGACAAGCTGACAGAAACTTTTGTACCAAAAGACGAAACAAACTTTTCATTGTTAGCAAGACCAAAAGTTGTTCCAGACAAAGTTCTAGTACAAAAGAAGTACACAGTTCCACAAGGGTTGGTATGTTCGGATACCAACCTGAACCAGAAGAACTTCCAATGAGGTTGCAAGAACTTCAAGATGCTATAAACAAACTTCCATTGAGACATCCAATTGACGTCAAATTGTATTGGAGAGCATCTGAGTTAGGTCAGAAGGTTTTATATGAAACAGGTTGCTTCGACGATGTTTATGAGATAACAGGAGAAGTTTCTCAGAAGATAAGAGACTCACTTGAATTTCCACAAACTGGACCAATTGGTTGCGACAAGTTCGACTCAGATGAAAAGATATACTATGTCGACCTTAACGCTGCATACATGAGGTTTGTCCAATATATTCCGACTGGAATTCCAAACGAAGATGGTGAGTTCCCGGGAAGGAACTATACAGTTGGAAAAGTCATACAACAACTGTATGATATTAGGAAAGCTTCAAACCCCAAACTTGCAATGACACTCAAATTGCTTATGAATTCGACATGGGGATATTCCATTAAGAAACCTCAAGAGATGAAGAGTAAACATTATGAGAAGGTCGACAACTTTGTTGAAAGGTTTTCTCCTTTTGTTTTGAGGTACGAATTCACTCAAGGTCAAAGTGGCTTAGTAACCACATTAAAACCTATTGTCGAACATTGGTCTTACCCTCAGTTCGCAAAGGCAGTCCTTGACAACTACAACAAATTCTTCTCCGAAGTCAAATCCAAAGTGAAGGTTTACTATGAGAACATTGACGCACTCATGACGAACGAAGAAGGATACAACAAACTCATTGAAATGGGAATGGTCGGTGAAAAGATGGGCTGTTTTAAGCTAGATAAGGTATTTTCCGAAGTTCATGTCCTCTCCAAGCGTAAGTACTGGGGTATACTTGAAGACGGCACAGAAATAAAACATTGCATGAAATAAAAAATTTATTTTTTAAAAAGTGACGTTTTTTTTTTAATTTTATTTGAAATGTACGCTGAGTTTGTTGGAGAAGACCGTTGGGAAACTTGTTTGTTAGATGAGAAATATGAAATGGCATACCATTTTAAAACAATATATTTTTACATATATTAAATGCTTCAGGTTGAAAAACAAAGAACAAAAGTAGCAGATACAAAACCGTTAGACTATATCTTTACAAATGCTGGTAGGACTATTTCAGATGAAGAAATTTCATCCCGAGCATACAGGTTTGACTATCCAATTCGTTGGCTTCAAAGTCCTTCAGATGCAAAGGCAATAGGATTTAGAAGAGTTTTGTTTTCAAATAGAACTAACGCATTTATGTTCGCAGTATATTTTCATGGGCAGTATAAAGGTTCTGATGGTCTAATAGACAAATTTGACGAAATGAGAATCTTTACAGTTCGTTCAGACGAAAGTCTTGAGAAAACTCTAGATGACTTTCAAACTCAAATGAACAAATATTATTGGGAATTTCAAAAAAATACGACTCTTTACTAAATGGAACATTCTATCTGAAACTAGAATATGACAAGATGAACTCCACCGTTTCATTTCAAAAGATTGAAATTAACCCTCCAAGAGATACAGAGTTTTTATTTTGGGAAGTAGACAAACGTTCTTGGGCACAATTTCTTCGGTTACTAAACCAGAACGAACCATTACCACCAGATGGTCCATTTAAATTTATACTTCCACCAGCAGATTTGATGGTTTATAGAAACGTGTTTGACCCTCAAAATGTTATGTGTCATGCAAGTTTCAGTTCAAGCAACAATAGTTTTCTATGTATTGGTAAGGACTTTTATGACTTTGCTTCTAAATTCTACGAACCACATAGTAACAGTTTCTCTGACTTTCAAGTTTGGTTCACAACAAATGGTGTGCAACATATTATTCCATTGTACTATGACTTTTATCTCGAATTGTCTTTCATATATAACTACGGAAAAGTGCTGAAAAAGTATTGAATGTGAAGATATTAGAAAATAACATTTTTCTAACATCGTAGAAAACTCATGAAAACAATTTATTTTTGACACTTTCACAAAAAACATAAAAAAAGTGAAGTTAAAATGAGATGTTTACTGAACTGGTTGGATGTCGCCTTCTGAGGTTATGTAGAACGGCTGACCCGAGAAGTGGAACAGTGCTCTGAGAATTTGTATAATTCGTGGAATTGGACTCTCTCTGTTTGGAAGTTGTATCCATGGGCGCTTTGCAAAGAACTTGAGAAGAGCTTCTTTCTTCATCTCCTTTATGTCGTCTACAGGAGTGTTTTCTGGTATTTGAATTGGAATTCCGGTTTCAATTTCGATTTTCAGCGCACCTCTTCCAGACAACCAGAAGCCGAGGGACTTGTTGGCTTTGTCCTTGCCCAAGTACTGCTTAACAACTTCATTTATCTCTATAAGGTAAATTGCCTCATCTAATGGCTCGATGTTGTCCATTGTTCTGTTTCAGAACTAGTCTTGTACTTTTTCAGAACAATACTTGTACTGTTTCAGAACTAGTCTTGTACTTTTTCAGAACAATACTTGTACTGTTTCAGAACTAGTCTTGTACTTTTTCAGAACAATACTTGTACTGTTTCAGAACAATACTTGTACTTTTTCAGAACAAGACTTGAACTTTTTCAGAACAAATTTCCCGTAAAAGCTCTCAATTTGTGAGAAAAATTTTCTATTTCAGAACAATACTTGTACTGTTTCAGAACAATACTTGTACTGTTTCAGAACAATACTTGTACTGTTTCAGAACAATACTTGTACTGTTTCAGAACAATACTTGTACTGCTTCAGAACAATACTTGTACTGCTTCAGAACAATACTTGTACTGTTTCAGAACAATACTTGTACTGCTTCAGAACAATACTTGTACTGTTTCAGAACAATACTTGTACTGTTTCAGAACAATGTCCGACGTACCACCAACCGAGTCCATTCCCAAACCAGAGGAACCTAAAGAACCACAACAACGAGCATTTTCTAACTTCCTCTTGTTCTTGTTTAAAACATTCTCAAATTTCTTGTCAATGTCAGCAAACTTTTTTTCTAACATATTTTTAGAAAAATTAAAATTTTTATCTTTTAGAAAATGTCTAGCGATTTCGCTATCTATATTCGAGACAAACTTTTTGACAGCAAAACATCTGTCGACCATAAAATCTTACATAGTGTAAACAAGAAAGGTGAATTTGTTCTAAAGTTCTGTTTCTGGGAATATGACAAGAACCATAAAACATTACAAAGAGCAGTCTTAAAATTTGTCAATGACAGACTTGTTGACAGAGATGACGCCGATTGGAAAGATGAAGTCCAACAAAAGTTCTTAGAATGCAAAGAAGACACATGCGCTGTTCTTGAAGATGAAATAGAAAACAGAATAGATGAGCTATTAAAGGACAAAGAACTTTTACATAAATATGGTTCTGAGAAATTTGACGTCTCACCACCAGAAAAGAAGAAGAGAGAAAAGAAAGAAAAGAAAGTAGAAGAAGAGAAGAAAGAACCTGAACCAGTTCCAGAGGAAAAGAAATTTGACATGTAAAAATAAAATTTTATTTTTAGAACATTTCTGGGTCAATGCCAATGTTCTCTTCCTCTTTAGGAGTAAACACTGGCTTAGACTCTAATAGCTTTTTACCCAATTTACCTTGAACTTCTACAACTTTAGACTCATAATATTCATAGTCGTCTGTCTTCTTTGGTTCATAAGGTATAACAAATTTGTATGCTTTGCCTTCTTTAAGGTTTGAGAACCTTCTGTCAAAACTTTCTTTGACTGTTAACAAACCTTCTATGTCTAAGTCTTCAAATTTCGCACCATTTTTAGTCACAATAGCAAACTTAACTGGTTCAATGTTCCAAACTTTGCTGAATGAAGACTTTTCAAAATGGTAGAAGTAAACATTCAAATATGTGAATGGGTCTAGTTCTTCTTTAAGTCCTGACATGTACTTGTTTACTGAAATATATTTCGTCATCTTTTCTATCGGATAAAAAAATATTTTTTTTTAAAATTTACTCAGAAAAATTTTTCTTTGTATATACACCATTCTGTACGTCTAAAAGACTTTTGACATTTGCCAAGAATGTTCGTTTAGACGCTGGCATATAACCATACTCTTGACAATATTGTTTATATTCATCATATAAAGACCTTTCATCTAATGACACAAAGTCGCTTTCTTCTATGAACAGTTCATATACACTCTTGTTTGCTTCTAACGATGTTTGTCTCTCTTCGGTATGTGGAATTTGTCTTGGATTGAACTTAGAAATATCTAATGTCATGAAATATGAGAACAAGTGGTTGTAAAAGTCAGATGTCAAAGTTTCTGCTAAGTCGTCAAAATATTCTGTATCTTGCATATGAGAATCTGACGTTCTGACAACTACATATCTTCTGTCAGAACTTTCTAACTTCATCGGAACAGCATTGTTTGAAACCATAATGAAGTTTGCAACATTCTCACAAACTCTTGAGTCTTTATACTTTCTTTCAACAACTCCAACTTTATCTGTTATAGGACTCTTCAAAGCATCTGAGTTTAAAACTTTTGTTGTATCTATACTTTGAAGTTCATTGCAAACTATAAGTTTCATATTCTCTATTGAGGAGTTAAACTTGCCACAGATGTTTTCTAAGTTTGTCATATTAGGGTTCGAATAACCTTCTAACAGTTTGCACAAAATATCTGTAAAGAAAGTATTCTTACCAGTTCCTTGTTTTCCAATTATAATGAGAGCAGTTTCATTTTTAGCACTTGGATGTTGTAAGATGTTTGCAAACCAACATAAGATATACTCATAAACCTTTTCGTTTCCATTGCATATAATTTCTTTGACATGGTCTAACCAAGCTTCTATAACATTTTCGTTCCATTCTACTTGTTCGTATTTATATCCAGTGAAGATAGAATAGAAGTTTGGAGATGGTGTATAGAACTTTATACCTCGAACTGAAAAATCTTCTAACTTTGACAATAAGATATCCCAAGCATCTAACATCTTCATTCCAACTTGTACAACTTTTATTTTCTTAAGTTTCTGTCTACATTCTTGTTCTGAAACTATTGTGGCTCTTGGTTTGTTAAAGACAACATCCCATTCTTTCATGACATAACATTCTGGGGCAGAGTCAACATAAATGACTAAACGTTTCAAATTCTCGACTGCTTTGTTATAGTCTCTAAATGGACACATATTTCTGAATGCTTGGAAGTCATAAAAATCTGAAACATCTATTCTGTACATTTTTATAAAAATAAAAAAATAATATTTTTTTATTCTTGACTTTGTTGTTCCATTTGTTGCATTTGTTGTTCTTGAGCTATTTGTTGTTGAAGTTGTTCTTGTAATACAATACTTTCACCAGTTGCATCTTCCAATTCGAAACTTTCTGCCGTCATTGACAAATACATAGGACATAAAAGTTTTACAGGAACAAAGTTTGCGTCAACTAATGTCAACGTTATACTTGCCAAAGTGTTTGAGTTCACTAAGGTTGAAAATTCTGCATTCGAATGAACAATAGGCAAACCAGCAGCGAAAGTATTGTTTATACGCATAAGTATCTTTTGGTCATAATAGTTTCTGTCGACATTCGAATAACACTTTGAACCTAAGTTTGAAACAATATATAAGATTGGTGTGCTTAATGTCAATGGAATAGACATTCCTTGTATGACACCTTTTCCTGTTATAGGAAACTGTTGGTAGTAAAAACCAGAAATAAGTTTTGTATTATAGCTCATATCGTTTATAGTAAACTCAGTCGGACATCCAAACATAATGAAACCTGCTCTAGTTGCAGCACATGTTACACCCGTACTTAAAGTATTAAATAAGTCAACAAAACCTGTTGGTGGTATATCTGAGTAAGTATCTTCAAAGGAGTATTTTTTACCATTCACAACAATAAAGTCTTCTGGTGTCAAAAGAGCAAAACAGGCTTTAGTCGTCATTGTGTTTAAGGTTAGTTTACAATATCGTCCTTGAGGACTTTGTAAGTTTGTTGTTATAGAATTATATGACTCAGGGTTTTTGGTCGTAATAGTATAAACCATTATGTCTTCTGCCATTTACTTAGCAAATAAATTTTAATGAAATGTTGTGGTCGTCAAATATTTTTATAACGTCTGGGAAACTATATTTTAAGTTCAACGTTTCACCTCCTTGCATAACGTATATCTTGTCAATGGCATTATATGAAACACCACAGCAACTAATGTCGGGTTCTATTTCTTTGATGTTTATATCGTCTGCCTCTGTCAAAAGTTTCAATAGTTCTTTCAAAACTTCATGAGGTGCAATGACATATGAGTTCACTTTTACAGGGTTGTGTTCGACCAAGTTTAACATTATACTTAAAGCTTGACAAATCTTCTCCTGAGTTTGAAGTTTGTCTTTCAGTTGTTGGTAGTCGTTTCGAATATCTGCAACAGAACTTAAGTCTCTGCTAACTTCAGGATATGTTGGTTCTTTTACAGGAACAATTGTTATACCATCTTCGTCTTCGTATGGTTTCCCCACTTCAACATCTCTGTCTTTGACATTGACAACAACACTTTGACTGTTTGTTTGAGTTGGTGAATTTAACTTCACATCTGCCACCGCCATTAAACCTTTTGAAACACTTACGCTTCTATTTTTCGGAAATGACATTTTACTTAGAATAAAAAGATGGACGTATTCGGATATCTTATTGAATTGAAGCAGAACAAAGTTTATACTCACAAACAATACAAATACATTGACAGAATAGTTCTTTACACAAACAATGGAAAATGTTATAGAATAGCAGTCTTTGCTGAACCTAAATATTTTCATAAAACAAAGAAAGTTGGTATAACTGAAATGGTGAAAGTTCTTGAAGCAGACAAAAATATAACTTCAAAACTTACAGATATTACTAAAGGAAAGTTTATAATACAATATTATGTCAAAACTGGCGTACTGTCAATATTTGACGGAGAGAAGTCAGTTCAAGAACAACTTACTGACCTGCTGCCAAAATCTGCTCGATGGAAGCTGTCGTTATGCCAATCTGAGGAGCCCCAGCAGGTTTCATCGAACGAATCTTCAAAAGAGCATCTTCCGTGAAAAGTGCTATTGGTTTTGTAAACTTCTTTGCTCTCAATTCATCTGGACCGTCTCTGTCACCAGTATATTGTATTTGAACTGTACCAACAGTTGAAATACCACCCATAAAGTCTTCTGAGTCAGCAAATGGAATGCCAAGCCAAAAGTTTGAACGGTCTCCATTTGTATATTGAGTTTTTTGACCTCCTGTATGAGTCCATACTTTCACATATGGCATAATAGAACTTTGCATTTCAGGGTTAATGGTTGTTGTGAAGTTGTTGTTAAAGTTCATAGCATCTAATGTCAAGTTGTATGACCTCATATCCTCAACTGTAGAATATTCTTCTCTTGGGTAATATTTGCCATCTATGTTTATATGATATTTAATACCAGGGTTGTAGAAACAAGAATAGTCATTTATAGTTCGTCTGAACAGTACAAACATAGTATCTGCATGTTTCATTGCAGTTGTTAAAGCAATATCTGTTCTTGCACCTGCGGCTCCTGGATTTTGGTTTCCAACTTCACCTGCAAAGTCTTTGACAGATATTTGGTGTATAGGGAACATAAGTGGAACTGCAATATATTTGGCAGCTAAAGCATTTGAAATATCTGGGTCCAACATATAGACTGCAAGTCTGCTTTCTATTCTCTTGCATTCAAACTGTTCGCATGTGAACTTAACTGGGTCCCAAGCAGTTCCAGCAGCATTGAAATAATAGTTTACTTCATTGTTGAAGTTTGAGAAACCAAAGTCTAAGTCAACTTTGTCTTTGCAAAATTCGGCGAATGACGTTTTATTTGTTCCCTTTACGTCTGTAAGAGTGAATTGGTCTTGTGTTGGTGCAATGACTAAGTTATTTTTGCTTGGAGTAAGTTCGATAGAAATTTTTCCTGCCCAGTTTGGCAAGTATCTTAAGAACCTAAAGATGAGGAAAGATGACAAAGGAACTCTAAGTTTCAGTTTTACTTTGGTTACTGCTGCTGCAGTTTGTCCAGAAAGGTTAACATAAACTCCTGGAACGTTAGGGTCAAGTCTTCTTATTTTCTCAATGGTGGCATACTGGTCTGTTTGTTCTCTAGCTTGTGGTTGTACTGAGTTTCTCAAAGCGAACCATTCATAGTTTGCCCATGTTACTGTTTGAACTAAGTCAGAGTTAGAATATATCTTATATCCCATGAAAACTTCTGGAGCATATTGGTATCCGACATAGAAAATTCCATTGCAACCTTTCTTGTCAGACAACTTGGCAGAAGGTTTTATTTCAATGTCTTGTTCCACGTATAAGAATGAGTTGTCAATAGAAATAATATGAAACCTGTCGCAAGCAATATCTACTGTTGTTGAAGAACCTTCTCCAAACTCACCTACGTTTCCATAAGAAACAGCAGTTGTATATTCGTAAGTTCCAGGAACTATTTCTGACCTTCTAATGGCATTGTCGCATTCGTTATACCATTCGGAAACATTTCCGTTCATGGCATCCAAAACTGTTGGCGTTATATTCTGAGCGGCGTACATTTCATATGGGTAAAAATATAGAATAGTTGGATTTATATATCATAATAAACCCACTCGTACCAAGCTTTACTTTCTTCCTGACTGAGTTTTTAACTCTTCTTTTTCCTTCATTGCCACTACTTTCACTAGATGAAGTTACTTCTTCACTATTTTCACTTTGTTCTACTCTTCTTCTTTGGTGTCGCTTTTGGTAACTTGCCCTCTGCTTCAAGTTGTTGCATCTTTGCCTCATGTTCACCTAGTATGTTGTAAATTTCACGTGTCCTTTTTGCCTTTGGGCTCTGGTCGCCCATCTCAGGTAACCTATATCCTAGAAAGATTTTGTCATAGTTTGTATTTGAGTCTTCGCGTATTGTTTGCATGACTCTTTCCTGAGTTTCCGGTTCAAGCTCTTCAAACAGAGCTTGTCCATATGGAATAAGCTCGTTTCCAAATATATGTTTTTGTAGCCATTCTGGTTTTCTTTCCATGTTACCAATAATATCTTTTGTGAATGGGAAAGCTTTTACCCAACGTTTCAGGCTTGCGTCATTTATTTCTGTAGTTTCCAAAGGAGGGACTTGTTCGTTTCCTTCAGGCTCTTCTAGCTGTTGTTGCTGAACTATTTCTTCCATGTCTGGTTGTATCTGAACTTCTTCCTGTTGAGTTTCTTGTACCTCATCTGGTGGTATATAAGTTCCACCAGCTGGCACATATGTTCCATCTGCAGCATAATGTCCTACCTGACTTTTCGTTCTTAAGAAAGCATTTACTAGGTCTGTTTTGGTCTGTTGTAACTCTTTTTCTTGACTTTCCACAACAGTTGCTCTAACGGCGTCATAGGCACTTTGAACTGCCTGTCTTGTTGCTGCATCTGTTATTTTCGTCATATTTTGTGCTACTTCTCTTAACTCTTTGTCGAAACCTTCAGACTTCAGTTTCTTTCCAGATGAGAAGTCGTTCACTAGTTTCACCTTACTATGAAGAGCTTCGAAGGCATTCTTAAAGTCAGCATTCATTAAAGCTTCATTTGAACTGTCTTCATCCGCTTGTATTTTTGTCCTTATTGACCCTATAAGTTGGGCTGCTTTAGCGTTGGCTTGGCATCTAACCAGTCATTATTAGCTTTTATAATATCTGCGCTTTTCATTGCCTTTTGCATGGCTGCGTCGTTATTTTTACTTTCTTGTGCTAAGTTTTCATACTGTACGGTTTGGTTTTGCAACTGTAAAAGTTTTTCTGCCTTTACATTTGCTTCAACTTCTTTTTTATACTCATCGCTATCCATATATGTCTTCAGGGCTTTTTGTTTTATTTCTTCATCTTTCAGTACTTTATATTGAGTAGTATGGTTTTCAAATTTATAACATCTTGTTCCAGTTTTGCTACTTCTGCTGCTTTTTCTGACACTTTTTTCGCATATTCCTCTGTACTTAGTTCTTTCAGTTGTTCTTCTTTCTTCTTTTTCTCTACGTTTAACTCATTGAGTTTCTTTGTGTGTCTGTCATATTCTAGTTTCTTTTCGTTTTCACTTATTTGTTTCTTGTATGTCTATGTTTGACTTTTTGACATCTGCTATTTGATTTTTGAGTGAACTCAAATTCATTTGACTTTGAGGGTTATAAGCTGTTCCGTCTGCAGCTCCACCATAGCCTGCCATTTTCGCTAAAAGTGCCGCTCTTAAACCTCCACTCTGTGCACCAATAACTCGGTTTAAAAGCATAGGGTTGCTTGACATTTGTTGCAACATAGTGGGGTCATTCATCATTTGTTGTTGCAACTGTTGTTGTGGTGTCAGTTTTACTATTGGATGTTTCAATGCTCCCTTCCTCTTACGTATATTCTTACGTAGCTTACGTGGCATTTTAAGTGAAGTTAAAAAACGGTTTTTGACAGATGTTTATATGACACTTTTTGTTCAGCTCAAAAAACTACTCGGTCAAAGTGTTGTCAGTTTTGTAAAATAACCGTCCTATCTCATTCTATAAGGGGGAAAGTCTTCTCAAAGTATACTTCCTTGGAACGCCTGTAACTTTTCCTGTAGCGACAATAGACCCTTACTTGTCCGGACAAAGTTATACTATTTTGAGCGCTCTACAAAAAAGTCAACGGCTGGTCGGCTGGGGTTCGGTCCTCCTCTTGGGTCTTGGGAAAAATTTCTTATGGGCTAGAGGGCGCAACGCGCCTGGAAGCCCTCCAAATATAAACTTCATTTATACTAAACATCTTCAGGGCTAGAGGGCGCAACGCGCCTGGAGGCCCCACTACCTTTTTTTTACATTTTGCATCCATGATATATGATAAAACTATTTTCTTTTATAAATTTCGAAAACCCAGCATTCAAATCTTATTCATTCAAATTTTGAAATCGTTGAAAAACTGTCAAAATTGTCAAATGACAAAATTTACAAAATGCTCACGCTATTGAGTTTATTATGTATTGGGATTTCAATTGATTCCGTTCGACCGGCCCTTACAGTTGAGAAAATGAATACTGCTAATCTTGAAAGGGACGATACAACCACTGACCTCAATTCACTTGCATGGCAAGTAGCAAACGATTTTCATCTCGAGATATCTAATGTTACTAATCATTTCAGACTTGCCAAGTATTCTAGGATTCCATGCAAGGGACTCTTATTCAGAATTGATTTCAACTAAGTCGACGGAAATGAAAAGGCTGTCTATCTTGGTGGCAGTGTTGTCAAAATTACTAATAACAATGGTGTATACACTGTCAATTGCCGCCAAGCAACTGTCCGTGGAAATGTAAGAACTTTTCTTTACCGTCCCAAACGTAGTAGTTCTCAAGGTGGTTATGCGATTAATACAGAATTTCCTCACATATTTGGGGAGAGGGCTGTACCTAATTATAGACCGGTAATAGATCCTTCTTATCGACTTACAGGCCAGGACATCACAGAAATCTATAACACTTTATACCGCCAAATTGAAGGCCAACTCAACGCTTACAAAACAATTTAAATTTATAAATTTTTTTATAAATTTATTATTTGCAATATTGGATTCTCCCTATGAGCTATAATTATATTTATTATTATTCAAAATTATAATCACAGGTATAATTTCTGTAATACCCTATGTATAATATATATTATAGAGAGGTTATCGATTTTGTAATTTAATCGTCGTCGTTATCGATTTTGTAATTTAATTGTTATCGTCTTTTTCTAAACGTGCATTTTTACATTAAAAGCAATGCAACTCCAAAATTAATTGGTATTTAGACTTTAATTAGGTGCAGACAAACGAAATGCAGTCCAAATATTTTGGTGATATATGAATTACATAAATTTAAGGAAATTGAAATTATATCTTTTTAAATTTTTAGGAAAACAGATTTATAGAATTGTTTAAGTCATCAAAATAATGCAGACTTAGGTCAAATTTTCCAAATTTAATCATTTGCAAGACTTTCAAGCGACTTCAAAATGTCGAAATATAAGTCCAAAAATAAAATTACGATTACAGTCTATCCTCAATTATTATCACGCTAATTATTGAGTGACCCATGCGTTCGTATGTATGTAATACCTTTTACAAAGGAGATGAGAGAGATAAACTACATTTACAATTTAAATCTGATGTATTTACTTGTGACATTTACAAATGTAAATGTTTCTCGTAATGTTTACATTTTGTAAGTATAACGAATAAAAATGACGCACTTTTTTTACAAAGTCAAATTATTGTTCGATTTTTGCAGCTTGTAAACGATTAATTGTATAAAGCAATTGATATTAGCACGACATAACTGAATAATTCTAATATTGAAATCAAAAGCCCTTAAAATATCATGATATTTTAATTTCATAACAAATCTAGGAGACTATTTGATGAAAACATATCCGATGTGGTTTTTGTTGTATTATATAACTTGTTATTGACTTCTTAGCTTTCCAAATTTTTTTCGATAATGAGAAAACGAATGAAAAATCAACATTTGGTCCATTTAAAATTTGATTTGTTTACATTTTTTTACTTTTTGAATTTCAATTTATATTTTCCTCAAGAAATACTTTAGATTTTAAGAAACTAAATCATATAATCTACTAAGAAAATATATTAAATCCTATAATACTCAAAGTTTTGTGATAAATCCGATCTTTTTTATTTTACTTTTATTATGTTTTTGCAAACTTAAGGTCCTCACTAGGTAAAACATAATACTCTTTGAAGTTAAGTTATTTATTACAAAATTGAAGAAATATGTGTAAAATATAACACATAATTTAGTTATTTGACTCAATTATTAGTTATGCAATATCAGTTGTGTTTATATCTGCGTTATATCACGAGATGCATTGAATTGTCATAATTAGATCACCGTAAATCTTATCAATTTTTGATACACTTCCGGTGAAAAATTTAGCCTTGACAATAGGATGAAATATATTGTAAAAAATAAATTTTAGATTTTGAAGTTTATCATTTCGAATAATGAAATATAAACAATACAAATTTTCTGTCGTTTCGAGATTCATAAATGATCGGAATCTTCCAGCTCCGACTGAAATAGAACTTTCGGAAGCTAATTTTCAAGACGAATCTTCTTTATTAAGATTTATTTTGGATATCCCTAAGGATTTAAGCTTTTCCATTGACTCATATTCAATGAATCTTTTGATACATTTCATTATCGAGCAATCTACACAAAATGAAACAATATTAAAATTCATAATTCAAAATTTCACTTCTTCGAATATCTTTCAAATAGATTTGATACTACTGGAAAATTTATTCGAATATTTATCGCATTATATTAACCAGATTTTTTTCATTTTTTCATTAAAATTAATTCATTTTAAAGCTTTAGATAACATACAATACCTTTATTTATCAACATTTTCCGATCAATATGATGAGATATTACGTTTCATAAGCAGCAGTGACAATTCTCTCTATATCATCGATACATTTATTGCTTTGATTAAAAACAATATTCTTGACGTTGAATTCTTCCAAAACGCAGTTTTACTCAAGAAAGAAATTTTTTCTAGTATTATTGAGTACGAAAATCAATATTTAACTTATGCAATTGCAAATTTCTTTACAAAATTATTAAAATATTACCAGATATGCAACTGCTCTTCCATGTTCGGATATACTAATATCAAATTATTTCAACTTTTTTAATGACGTGAATTCAATTATAAATAACGAAGATTTTGTTTATCTTCTCAAATTTATAGTTTTATTTTATAAAGCAGTCGATATAACATCTGAGATGGCTTTAGAATTCATAAAAACACTTGAAATTCTGCGAAGTCTTTCTCCTCACTATTCATTTACAGAGTATGTAGTTCAGGGGTATTATTGTGTACTTCCTCTTATACCCATGCAAATTTCATCTACCGATTTTTTAAATTCACATGAATTTTTAATTAATTATGCAATTGAGAATTCAAATCTTCACAAATATTTGAAATTATATTCCAGATGTTTCCGCAGATTTGATAGCGATGAAATATTCAAAAATGTTTTTCATATCTTAAACCTTGTAGAAGTTACAACAGAATATTTATCAGAAAATCAGGATCTTTCTGAGAAACAGATCTTTATTTGCAACGATATCCTAACGAGGGTTAATTTAATTTAATTTTTATTTTTTATT